CGGTAAATCGACTCTGTCAACAGAGACATATTTTCCCAATCAGCTATTTATTTCGGTACTGAAGTCAGGGTGGCAATTTCAATGTTTAGCTACCATAATTTATCTCCATTATGAGCAGGAAAATAAATTACGGACCTCGATTGAGATGGATTTAACGGCCGCCATGTTTTTAAGGGATATGTGAAACAATATTAGGGAGGGGGTTAAATTCACATAATCCTCAATTTTAATGATGTTGACTTAATAGTCATAATTTTTTTTTTCAAAACTTCGGATATTATTTTATGTATTTTTTTGTATTTTTCTCAATAGTTTTTTTTATTTCTTTTGATATATTAATTTGACAACTTTATAGAGTGGAAACAGACTGTTGAATTAGTTCATCCTAGACTTTGGTAGAACATGTTTAAAATAGTACAGTGTGAACTGCAATTTCTTTCTGGCTGGTATAAATTTATTAAGTAATATTTTTTCGTACTAAAAAGACTCAAATATCTTTTTTAATTAAATCTAACGGCCAATGGGAGCACATCTGCTACAACCTCTGCTTACTTTGGGCTAAATGTTTTTGTTTTTTTTCCAGGTGCATAGCCAGATTATTTCTCAGAAAGCAAAGCCACTGGAACTGCATGTATTACAAAAACATACCGGTACTATTCACTGCGTGTCTGACAATTGTATAAAGTTTTGCAGGTCCTCTGTTTTTCACTTTGAGAAGTTCTGTCAACCAAAGCATAAATATGTGTTTCTCTGTACATAAAATTTCACACGATTTGTTAATATTAATGTATGATAATAAAAACTTGATAATATTTTTCTGGATTTTTGCACTTTATTTATATCATTGTCGTATGAGAAGTAATCTTGTCCTTTTTAGAGATATTGAAACTAATCCACAGCCACAAACTAGTTTATCCAAACAGACACAACACTGACTCTACATATTTGCAGATCTGATTTGTATACTTCCTTGTCATTTTACCTGTTGTACTGGTTTGGTGCTATCTGGTTTCCTTGCTGAGAATAATGCTGACCTGGATGGAGAGTGCTATAAACTTGAAAATGCCATAGAAATCACATTTGCCAATTTATGTCCATGCAACTTTAGAATGACAACTAGCGAAGGCAGTGTCATTCATGACTTGTTTTGAGCAAGTTTAAATGAGGGTTGGCCAAATAATGTGAATGTTGCCAATCATTTTCTGTAATAACATTTCTTGTTGGGTGTATATGTATTTTTATAACTTCACATCTCTGTGTTGCATATTGCGTGATGATCTGAATAGGTAATATGATCTGATATGTAATAACTGTAAGAATAGACACATAACATTCATAAACACAGAACACATACTCATTTTATAATTGTCTATTCCAGACAAGATGGTTGAATTGTGTACATGTCAGTTGTTAACATTGGTTATGGAGCAGATATCTGGATCTCTGTCACTATGGAAACATGTCACAAAACATTACTCATCAACTATAAAGGTGATTATCATGTATTATCACGCAATGAGACACAGACAGAGAGGGATAAACCAAAGTCAGAACAGGGAAGGGTAGACAAAAGTCAGGACAGTGAGGGACAGACCAAAGTCAGGACAGCGAGGGACATACCAAAGTCAGGACAGCGAGGGACATACCAAAGTCAGGACAGAGAGGGACAGACCAAAGTAAGGACAGTGAGGGACAGACCAAAATAAGACAGTGAGTGACAGACCAAAGTCAGAACAGTGAGTGACAGACCAAAGTCAGGACAGAGAGAGACAGACCAAAGTCAGGACAGAGAGGGACAGACCAAAGTCAGGACAGAGAGGGACAGACCAAAGTCAGAACAGGGAAGGGCAGACCAAAGTAAGGACAGAGAAGGACAGACCAAAGTCAGGACAGAGAGGGACAGACCAAAGTCAGGACAGAGAGGGACAGACCAAAGTAAGGACAGAATGGGACTGACCAAAGTAAGGACAGAGTGGGACAGACCAAAGTCAGGACAGAGAGGGACAGACCAAAGTAAGGACAGAGTGGGACTGACCAAAGTAAGGACAGAGTGGGACAGACCAAAGTTAGGACAGAGAGGGACAGACCAAAGTCAGGACAGAGAGGGACAGACCAAAGTCAGAACAGTGAGTGACAGACCAAAGTAAGGACAGAGAGAGACAGACCAAAGTCAGGACAGAGAGGGACAGACCAAAGTCAGGACAGAGAGGGACAGACCAAAGTCAGGACAGTGAGTGACAGACCAAAGTCAGAACAGTGAGTGACAAACCAAAGTCAGGACAGAGAGGGACAGACCAAAGTAAGGACAGAGTGGGACAGACCAAAGTCAGGACAGTGAGGGACAGACCAAAGTCAGGACAGAGAGGAACAGATCAAAGTTAGGATAGAGAGGGACAGACCAAAATCAGGACAGAGAGGGACAGACCAAAGTCAGGACAGAGAGGGACAGACCAAAGTCAGGACAGAGAGGCACAGACCAAAGTAAGGACAGAGAGGAACAGACCAAAGTCAAGACAGAGATGGACAGACCAAAGTCAGGACAGAGAGGGACAGACCAAAGTAAGGACAAAGAGGGACAGACCAAAGTAAGGACAGAGAGGGACAGACCAAAGTAAGGACAGAGTGGGACAGACCAAAGTCAGGACAGGGAGGGACAGACCAAAGTAAGGACAGAGTGGGACTGACCAAAGTAAGGACAGAGTGGGACTGACCAAAGTTAGGACAGAGAGGGACAGACCAAAGTCAGGACAGAGAAGGACAGACCAAAGTCAGAACAGAGAGGGATAGACCAAAGTCAGAACAGAGAGGGACAGACCAAAGTCAAGACAAAAAAAACACTTCCAACTGATTACTGTGCAAAATTTTTATGATTGTGTTTTTTTCCCCACAGAATCTCGTATCTCGGCTGTTTGCTTCACCACCATCCAGTTCTTCATATTGTTTTTTGATTGGACAGTACTTTTGTCATATCTGTCAGGTGGCATCAATTGTCCAATCAGAAGTCTTAGAACAAATCTTTGTATTGTCATTAGAGTTACTCAATACACTTGATGAGTTTGCTTCCAACAATCACACTATTGATTCAATGGAATTAATCAACCAGAAAACAGTCATGCTTTCTGCAGTTGCCATGGTACCAGACTGCGAGAAAAGGTCAAGATTAGTGCAGAAAATGAACACTGTCTTTGAGGGTTGAATAAGAAGAAAAACATTTTTCAAAAACTTAGTTTTACGTTCACTGACTTTCCAGATTATACCAGATAGTAAAGATATATGCAGGTTCTGTCGACTCGTAAGTTTTGTTGAAATGAGCATTTGAGATGTAATCCACAGACACAACACATATAAGGTTTCACCACTGAATTGACTATTTCTAACAAATTGTTAAAAATAATGTAATATAAATATCTTATTATACCAAGTATTGTTTTTATTTTATTGGCACATGATGCAATAGTATATTGATAATATCATATCAGTATGATGTGTTTGCATGTCACTACGAGCAATAAATAATTACAATGGTACAAATTTGGGCATTTTTTTATTGTATTTGATGATGCAAAACAAGTAAACAAAAGATCTCAGTCCCTTGTCAAATATGTAATGGTGAATCTATGCTGCAACTAACACTGTGGTTGGATTGACATGTTACATTACAATGTGGTTGATGCTTTGATCCTATTGATCAGCAAAAATAATCCCAGCCATGATTGTCAGCCACTTAATGTTACTATGTTTGTTTGGAAAGAATATATTATAATGCGGTATAACTACTGCTCATATAAGCTGATTAAATTTATTTACTTTGTACAATGCTTTTTGATTTGATAGTATTGTCATTATAGAATACATGTATTCCCATCCTTATTATGTAAACTTGTATTGCAGACATACACTGTGATAAATATTACTAGTATTTATTTCTTTTTTGGCCTGGTACTATAAAGATAAGTCCAATCAGTGAGCATTAAGAAAATTACTAGTAATAATAACTGAAAAATAAAAGCTATATTCTGAGAAATGCTTTTTTTTGTTTTTGCGAAATATACAAGTTTAGTGATGTAGAGAACATGGCATATGACAACTAAGTTCCGGTTAATAATTGAACAAGGGTTTGTTTCTGAATCACCTCAGGTCTGATTGAATTGTGATGCTTGTTTTTCAACCTGCAATTCTATAAATTGACGACAACTACGGTAAGCTTCAATTTCACCCAAAACTTTATGTGTATTTGCACAGTGATATAGTGGTATAGATATTGATATTAGGCACAAGGGAAATCCACTTGCTGGGAGTAAATTAAAAATGCATAATCCTCACCCCCTACTAGTTAGTTGGTTGTTGATGGTCATTTTCCCTCAACACCAGATAAATTAAACTAATTTAAAAATCAGTTGTCTGTCACACAAATTAGAAACAGAAACATAGCTACATGCCTTCAAACCTACCTTGTTGCATTGCACTTGATAGTGAAAAACAGGATTTGTTAATAGCATGAAGTAATTTGTGTGCAATGTGTTTTGTCATTCAATGTTTGCCTGTGTTTTTCTTGCCTTACTAAGCAAACTTTGATCAAAGTTTCATGAATCTGTCCATACCCTCAGTCCATCAGGTGATTTCCTTGCCCTGCATTTTGCCTGCATACTTGACTGAAATTCTCATATTCAATTTTTTTTTGAATGTAGTCTGAAAATGTGGACGTATAGATCGACCAAAGTGTGTCAATCCGTGTCAGTTCATGTCCAGCAGTATCTCACACATGCTTAGTTAGATCAAGTTCAAACTTCACAGGTAAATCAGATATTGAATATTTGCATTATTGCTGGAACCAGAATTCCAAACTGAATTTCAAAATTTGTATAATTATAAAACACTTATAATTTCCATAATGTTCAGCCTTGCATAAAGTAAAGGTCAATTGCTTGCTTCAATCTTTTCAATGACTACATACTTCAAATCTTTAAATCTAATTACAATGTACATTGTATAAATGACATGATTTAAACGATCTAAAAAGACAGTAGTTAGTTGTCTTCTTTATGTGTCTGCGATATCCAATAAAAGTATACATAGTTGAACAATATCAATAAAACACAGACAGATAAATAAATACAAACAAAATAATCACTACTGTGCAAAACCATCAAATTAATAGAACAATAAAAAACAAAAATTTAGTGCTTACAGAGAAT